AAGAGACGCCGGTGCTTTCTTTTCCGATCTGAGCTTCTGATTTCTTCTGATGCATCACATATGGAGAATTGGAGAAGAGAGAATTCTGAAGAGTCTGAATTGTGTGTGTTGGATTGTTTTTCGTTTGTTTGTTTCTCGGGAAAATCGAGTTTTTTTACTTTCTTTCCTTCGTCTTGCTATTCTTTTCTTTGGGGATGTGATGTGGGGTTTGGCGACTCTTCCTCAGTTCCTCTCGGCCTTTTTCTTTTCTTTTTTCTTTTTTAAAAAAAAAATATATACAATATATATTATTGAGAGAGAGAGAGAGGGATGAGTTTTCGAGAGCGTTGTTTATGCGCGTTAATTTTATTATAGGCCAACAACAAGAAGGAATATTCGAAGGCGGAAAAAAAATCAAAGAAAGTATATATTCAAAAAAAAATATTCACTTAAAGCTCGTTTAGTTCATAGATTAGAATCATTTTTAATTTATGTATATTTTTTATAAAAAAAAATATTGTAACGAATCATGAACCATGATTCAAATCAGAGAATGAATCTTTCAATCAAACAGACTCTTAGAACTGAACAATTATAAATTTTTTTTCCCTCCTTTATGCAATATAATATACAATATATAGAGGTCAAGTTAGTGTTGCGTGTTGAATTAATGAAAAAATTATAGAATTTAAGTTGTTTTCTTTTCTTTTTCCTTTTTTTTTTCCTCTTCTAAGAACCATCACACAAGCTTAGTTTTGTCCCTACAAATTAAAAATTTTTTTAAGGGCAAATTAAAATTTCTATATTAAGGAGTGGAAAAACTTTTTTTCTTCTCTTTTTCTTTTTCATTATAAAGAAGTAATATAACTTGCTCATTAAGGTTCCTTGTTTAAATCCCATTATTATGTCCAATTCATCATTGAAGGTAAAATATTGATAAACAAATAAGTAAATACATAAAAGAAAGTCCAACTCATCAAATTATTATTCTCATACTTCCTTAAAAGAGTTATTATTCTCATTCATATAACCATGATATATTGTGATAGAAAGGTATCTGAAAAAGAAAGAAAGAAAGAAAGAAAGAAATCCAAATTCTCCTTATGCTTGTAATATTTGTTTTATATAAATGAAATTGTTGTATTTATTGTTGTCTAAAAAAAACAGAGAAAAAACTACGGCTGATATTTAGAGTTATGTTTTCCATCTATCGAAAACTCGGGGGCTTTTAAATCGGCATGACATAGCCATAAATAGATATGACCTGAATTAGTTTCTTAACACTCAAGATAATTTTTCACTCAAAAGTTTTAAGGAACGTCTTTAAGGAGTCTCTAAAGAAAGAAGACTGCCCTACAATTACTTGTTTCATCTAATTCGATCATGCAATTATATTTTCATATACTTTCATTTTTCTTTTCTTAGGAAAATATTTCAGCTAATATTTAACAAAAGGAGAAATATATATATATATATATATGCGACTGCTAAGTTATGTTTTATCCTATAATAATTTTTTTCAAGAGAGCATTTAGAAAATAATGAAAATTCACAATGCTGTTGAAAGGGTTTGAAGTACTTCTGAAGTTTAGATGCATATATTGGTACTATGGTAGGCAATTTATAGGAGTATTAAACTAGGGAGTATTGCATTTTTCTTTAGTAAAAATCAATTTTTTGCTGAGTTTATCTTTTTGACCATCAAAATCAAACATTTATTTTTCATTCACATCAAAAGTCACTTCTGTTGGGATGGATTTAACTCGCCTTGGAGGTGGGTTACTTGTCACTTGGACCGTTATTTTCAGCGTGTTTGGCAGTAGGTGGCTCCGATCTCATGGTGCGTTTCCTTCATCTCCTCCGATTGTGCTTTTCCTCTATGGTGGCTCTGCTTAAATCTAACTCCTGTACTTCGATAGACGGCTCGGCACTGGTGGATTTTTGTTGTTGTTTAGTTGTGATAACGGAGGGTGTATGTTCCGTATGGTTTTGTGTCTCCCACCCGCTTGATGGTGTGGGTAATGGTATGATTTTCCCACCTTCTGGCTTGGTTTGTATGTTTCATCTGTTCGAGGTATTTCTCAATGGCATGGGCGTTGATGTTCAGCTAGAGGTTTCTCTAGGCCGTGTTGCTTATGTCCCCATGAATTGGGATTTGGTCTTAGTTGATTAAGTTAATCCATCAACTGTTTAGTCATTTTTAATGAGCTTTGGCTATGTTCAATTTTTATATGCTAATCAAGCTTTTAAAATTTGAAATTTGACAGAGGTTATAAAAGTTATTTTGAAATTTGACATATAAATATGATCGTGTCCGTTGTCTAATAAAAATTCTAACATTTTGATTAGTGCACTAACACATAATGCTTTCTGAAACGCTATCCTTATTTGTCTTACAATCATTAAATTTTAAAAGTTGTAAAAATATTTATTTTAAAAAAAATTAAAATGTCAATGTTATAATAATTAGATGAAAAAACCAATACATCAACTAATTGCAACAAATGTTGAAATTTGACACATGCTAAACCTGTTGGTTTTGAAAATTATTTTCAATGTGAAAACATGTATTTAACGGATCGTGTATAACATAAATTTTACAAACATTTAAGATACTCTATATATTATATTAATTTATGCACGAATAAATTAATCAAATTAATTTATTTACCTAGCAACGATTAGGTCGATAACTTGAGTTCTTTGACCACGAACGTTCCTCGCTCCAAGCTTGTTTAGAATACCCGAATCTTCCTCATCAAATTCTTTTACGAAGACGTGTGTGTGGGCACACTTGAAACAAAATAGATTAGCAAGAAAACACTCAAGTTTTTCACGAACACCAACACATGCACAACGTGGAATTCAAGAGAAAATTTTTCCTTTCCTCACTCTATAAAATTCTGCCACCTATGCTAGGGAGAGAAAAAATTGTGTTTTTCAATTTTCTGCAATCTCCTATTTATAGATTAGCAGTCAGACTCCCAGAAGAAATCTAAACTTTATCTTTAAGATAAAACTTAATAATTATCTCACACTTTTAATTGATTTTGGAAATAAAATTCACTCTATCCCTTATCTCATATGGCCGGCCACCATAGAGAGATTTCTCCCTGTTGTAGGCACAAATAACATATAGGAAAAAAGGCAAAATTCTACTTTTTTAATTTTGATTCAAATTCAAATTCTAATTTAAGTCAAACTTAATTTAATTTGACTTTCAATTAGACAACTTATTAAATAAGTCAATTAGATAACTTAGAGAGCAAACAACTGAATCATAGAGGGATTCACACTGCATAGGGCATGTACCCCATGTGGACACCACCACATGTGTGTTTCAAAATTCAAATTTAAATAATCACATTATTTAATTTGTAATTAATTCTCAATTAATTAATCTTGAGCGTTTTATTTAGAATTTCATGATTCTAAAATTTTCATTTTGCCCTTGGTGTCTTATAAGATTACAAAGATAACGCGGGGACTCATGGACCTATAATTTTGAGCTCTAATAAAATTAATAAAATTAATAAATTAATTAAAGAGTTTTAATTAATTATTAATTTTATTAATTCTAAAAGTTATCCCATTATAAACTTGGAATTACACTCTCGTAATTATAGACATAAATTACTTCTAAACTGTAAAGTGTCCATTTGATATAATCATTGCATATAGATCAATCATCCATAAATAATTCATAATTAGAGTTAAGTGAAATCCATTAACCTTTCTGATTACATCTTTATCCTTGAGTACTATTAATTCTCTAATGGACAGTGATTCATAAAATAAATTCATAAATCGGAGCTCCTAAGTACCGAATCAACCTTAAAGAGAATTATTTATCTACTTCTTTCTTAAGAAAGAATGAATTCCATTTCGTGTAATAACATTCTCGGCCACTCACTTCATAATGTCTCCAAAATACAAGAAATATTATTAACATCTCAGAATTCGTACTGAGTAAATCAAAAAATACAAATCCATAAATAATAGTCTACTAATAAATCAAGATTAAAATAATTCTATATATGACCATCGGTAGACTCAATTAGAATTTCTTTACTTAACGGAAACTATAATAAATTCATATTGTGTCTGTGTCTTGTTTTCACAAAATCTCATTATGTGTAATACACTCATTTTATATCTCGCGATATTAATAGTGCGGATAACATCATTTCATCTTAAATGGGAATGACATATATTAATAATATTTTAATTAAAAATTTCAAACTTTAATTAAATTTATTACGACATCATTTTGATTATCATATTTAAATATTGTATTCTCGCATATAACACTTACATATAATATTTAATGTCACATAAATAATCATGAAATTTTTTAATAATATTTATAAAATATTTAATAATATATGCACATAAAATAATAAATAAATTTTTTTATTAAATAAATAATAAATATCTTAATACTTTTGAGATACCATTCATGACAAAAACCTGATAACAATTTTTATGATCAAGTATATCATAACAATTTTATGATCTAGTATATCGTATGCAAATTAACACCATGCAAACGGTGCTCCTTTAGTCTTCATCGTCGTCTCCCCCCTTTAATTTTGTCAACTTTAGGCAGCTCTTTGACGTAAAACCCACCTTGTATGATGTTTTTTTTTTTAATCTATTAGGGAAATACCATTTGTCCAACACATGGACGAGTTAGCCAAACAACAAGACAAGTTACTAATGCCCCATTCACTTTACCGATTCGAGTTTAGAACTTGAGTTTTGTTATAATAAAAAATTCTCAGAAACAGTCACATCTAACTTTTTTGCTACAGTAAAAAACTCTCACATAAAATCACATCTCAACTCGAATTACAAATTCGAATCAGCGAAGTGAATGAGCCCCATAAAATCACATCTCAACTCAAATTACAAATTCGAATCAGCGAAGTGAATGAGCCATAATATCGACTATTTACTAAAACAAAATTAAAAAAGAAAAAATTACTACGGCTAGTGAGCCTGACCAAGCAAATTCTCGTTTAGATACTCTCAACTCAAAAATTAATAAAATATTTTCTAAGCAATTAACAAAGACCAGTTTAGTCTCACGATGTCATAAAATCACTTTGTTTCATTAAAACACACGGAAGTACGACTGGATATTAATTCGTCTAATTTGGTATTTCTCATGAGAACAAACACGGATAATTATACTACCATCATGACAACCAAAGTGGACATGTTTGAGATTATGGCACTTAACCTTTTTTTTTTTTTTTTAAATAATAATAATAAGCAGAATAAATGGTGAAAATTACGGAACGATCCTCTGCGAAGTTGAGAATTCTGGGCAAGTATTGTTAACAGGGGGAGTAATATTGGTGCATAACTAGGCAATTAAAAAGGAATGATGCATAAATCAAGAACTGCAAACGCGAAGCACTTCAAACAATCTCATGAAAGAAAAAAAAATGGAGTAGACTTACATACGCTTTGTTAATCTCACAAGTAACATTTAAAGACGAAAAATTTACTGTGCCAATAGACTAATTTGCATTTTTTGAACATTCCCTTTAACAAATCAATTGTGATACTCTCCGGCATATACTGCATTTTACCTCTCACTTATACGAGCCATTCCTATTTCAACAGAGGCTTGAGGCAAGAATGCAAACTGACCAACAATGGGGGTAACTGGTAAGGAAGAACTGAATTCATATCCATCTTCGTGTATCCTGTGGTCACGGCTTGTGTATCTTGAAGCCGAAAACTCTCGGGACATAACTCTGTGCTGCCTTCTGCGGCTTAAGGTGCCCGTATGTCATCAGAAATAAATGAGGGAATGTGGTTCCAAAATAAGCTCCATCAATGTCTGCAAATTGTCAAGGAAACTTTGAAATGGAAACAAAAACACAAAGAAAATCAACATTTTAACAATAATGACATCAGAAATAATCAATACACAGCAAGATTGAGATTTTTCCAACTCCTATGCAAATGGCAAAGTTAAAGTCATGATGGTCCCTCCATAATATGAATGACCACATTCAAGCTAGTCCGCAAACAACTGTAAAACACGTTGCAAAAATGCATACGCAGATATACACCATAAACATAAAGATAAAAATGACTCGAAATTTAGAAAATTAGAAGAGCTTCCTCTTTCGCATGTCAAACTTCGTCAAGAGCTTCCTCTTTCCTACGTCAAACTTCATTTGAAAGGAAAAACACAATCACACAGACACAAACAGGAAACACAAATCTAACCAATAAAAATCTAAAAATTTGAGCATGCAGCATTCAAGAAGATGTGCAAATAATATCTTAAAGCCAGTACTAGTTTGCAACATAAGGATACTGCCTTGGTACTTGGATCGAGGGTAATAAATGTCTTCACACTTTGGGCAATAAATTTTCACAGTACTAGAACGAGGAATGTCCGACTGGCCAACTGGAAGGCAAGGTTGACCGCAGCAGTAAACTCTTGGGCACCTCCCAAAATCATAATTTTTGTACTTCTCCAACTGTGGAAATTTTTACTACATCAGGATTCAATCAAATAAATAGGATGCAAAAATGATAAGTAAAAAAATTATGATCTTACCATTGCAGCCATTCCTTTGCTAGTAAGTATGTAACGGACATGAATTAGACCATACAGCATCTCTGCTGCTGATTCAACCAACTCATTTTGCTCCTCGGTGAACATATCACCTGAGTGATTAATAACAGCATTTAAAAGTGGCTATAGAGCCCAATATTCGAGCATCAACAATGTGCAAGAATATAAACAAAACCGGTGCCCAGTAAAATCAAATTAACACATACAATACATGATCATACTACCAAATGCACATCTATAACTCAAAATTCAAGGCAGCAAAATACAACTAACAATGATCGATTTTGATTGCAATCCACCATAACTGCAACAACAAAGAAACACACATCCGCCATCTTAGAGGGTAACTTTACAATTGTCAAAGAAATATAACCGCATATAACTTTTTTCTAGGCAGTCAGGCACTGCCATCCATACATCTAAGAAAATTCTCCAATTAAAATAGCAAAGAAATAATTTATTAAGTTAAACTTTGAAGTCACATAATTATTTTGAAGGAAGACTTGCTATGTAAAAAGGAATAATGCATCGGATGGAGAAGAGAACTCTCCAACAGCCTTTAATTCTTATTGCATTCTGATGAAGGAAACAAGTGAAGTTGCGCTTGAAACCCACTGGGAAAGACTTTCGAAGTTTTAAAATGGCTGAGATATGAGAGAGACTGAGAAAGAGACTTGTGAAGGAAACAAAATCATCTTTCACTCTAACATAGTAAGAATTTCAGCAATTTGAAATTTTTGTCAAGATATTAAGAAAGAGGCAACAAAGAGTACTTAAAAAAAAGTTCCAAGTCTGAAATCAGATCAAGTGCATAATCAAGTACAGATGACGATCAAAATTAACATGGGTAGTTTCTCACCATGAGAAGATTCAACGTCCAAAATCAGATCAAGCGCGTAATCATAATACGGAACTTGACTGCTCAAACCGCAAAGGTTAAAATCGTCTTGGATGTATTCATCGTCCACTTCACAGAAAAACTCATTCCCTCGCAAATTGCAGAACCATGAAATCCAAGAAGTGTCGTCTCCATCAGAACCGCTAACATCCGATTCCTCACTGTCTGTCTCGGATTCTTCTGCAATTAAGAATAAAGACATTGCCATAAGCTGCATGAGGATGTTCAGCACAACGTAATTTCTACTGAATGTTAAATAAGTAAACATGTCATAAACAATATATGAGAACTAAACCTAAAAAATTCATTTTAATTTCTACGGCATTACAATTCAAAACAATGTAACACGTAAGGGCACTCAACCTTTGACAAAACTACAAAGTAGAGATAATGTATTTCACCATTAACAGATTTCAACACATGAATCATACGAATAACAAGTAACGAAGACTAGGAATTGAATTTAAACCCAAAAAAAAAAAAAAACCTTCTGAACCATGATCCACCAATTTTACAAAATGAACCGAATTCTAAGAGAGACGTACCATCAGAGCATTTATTCTTAGAGAGAGAGGCGGCGGCGGCGGCGGCGGAGCGAGAATCGCGGTGATCAAGCTGCGATTTGCCGGCGGAAGTTGAGGGGACGGAGAGCCTCTCCTTGTCCTTGCTGCTCAAGGCCCTGGAAGTGGACGGGGAAGACTTCTCTAGATGCTTGTCCAGCGCATCGTTGATGCGCTTCCGATCGAGCGGTCCACCAACCATCTCCGATTTCGAGGAGCCGCCGCCACCACCTCCGCGATCCCTGTACATGCTCTCAGATTCGACGACGATTGTAGAGTTGGTCAAGCTCTGAGGCCTCGCATGGCGTGAAAAGAAAACCCTAGATTCTGTGCGCCGGACGAGGTGGATAAGGATTGGGAAAGTTAGGGTTTTGGGGATCAGGAGAATTGGAGAGAGATTGAGATTGGCGAATCGCTGATTTGAGAGAGATTGAGAAGTGTGAGATTCAGGAGAGAGAGAGAGAGAGGAAGCTAGGGTTTGAGGGCGAGAGAGAGGAAATACATCACATACGAGAAGAGCTGCTCTAAGGCTCCCTCTGTCTCTCCGCTGTTTTGTCGTCCTTCGTGTCTCTTCGTTTATTTTCCTTTATTCTTCTTCTTTTTTATTTTTATTTTTATTTTTTTACTTTTTGTTCCGTTCTTCGTATAATTTTAGAAAATTAAAAATGGGTACTATTATCCTTGAGATTAGTTTATCAATCCATAATTCCAAAAATTCGAAATAAAGTACGACGAAGTAACAATTTTTTTTATTTTAATTGTAATACAGTATTGTTACATGGCTATAGAGATGCAAGTGTGGTAACAACCTTTTATTTTGAGTGTATTTTGTGTTGTAGGTTGTGCGTGTGCTGATTTGGGTCTTTGTCATTTGAAGTTATGTCTACTGCTCTCTATAGAGATTGCCATTTGTGGAGACAGAGGATGCTCAAAATTAGAGTAGTAAGTTTGGGCCGGATTAAAAATACGGGTCAAATTCCTATTATTATTGGCTTGGGCTGAGATTATGAACTTGAAAGTTTATTTGGGTCAGCCCTACTGCCTTATTTTAAAAAAAAAATATACAAAAATCTTATAAAATTCCAATCTAACCCTCTATTACTTAGAGCCAGATTGCCTCGAAATTTTCATTTGAGTCGTTTGATTTCGAACGGCTCGAACTTTCACCTTTAATTCAAACAAATGGAATTATGTTCTAACCGGGCCTTATGAGTTAAAATGAGTTTAGAATTAGCCTGAGTAGGGTTAGGCAGACTACTCCATGAAAAGTGGTTAAACAAGTTGAGTCAAAAAATATTTTGGGAAAGAGTAATATTTCCAACCATAAAATCTATAAATACACCCCTTTTATAAATACTTTTAATTTGATACTTAATTTAACGCTCTCATACTCCCACCCGCAACTAACACTTTCATTTTTATTTTATCATTTAAAAAAATAATCAAACAATCTTAACAATAATAAAGGTTTTCTCATTAAAAGAAAAAAAGAAAAAGAAAACCTCTAAGTGCCAAGAAGAAAGACATACGGTACGCAAGCATAAAACAATAAATAAGCTTTAAAACATTTTTCAACGTAAATATTACAATTAGAATATCCAAAAAGTTTTAGCAACACTAAGAAAATGTAATTTTAGAAGCCATTTCTTACGCATTGTTATATGAAAAATCAACTAATATTTCTATTTACAGCAGATGAGGTTTATATATAAAAAGATGTATTATAGCTGATGTGGCTACAAAAATTGCTTAAATTTTAAGCAGTGATGAAGGAATCGATTAAAGAAACTTGAGTGACCATATTTCATTACAATCAGTAATGAAGGAATCGATCAAAGCAATATGATAATGAAAATCACAAATTCTGAAGTGATAAAGAAATTTGAAAAAATATGAACTAATAACAATAGTTGAAGAAGAAAACCATCACTTGTATGTATTCGATGAGCCACGAACTTCTTTCCGGAGTTGATTTTAAGTTTGGGATTTTTACAGGATATCATATCGTTGTTGCAGAAGTTTCTTTTTCTTTATTAAATGCAAAGTTTCTTTACAGGACAAAAATTTATTGAAAAGTTTTTTTTTTAAAAAAAAAAATACTATAACGAATCATGAATCATGATTTAAATTATAATTTGAATATTCTAATCAAACATCCCCTAAATAAATTGCTCATGACTCATCAAATACATAAAATAAAGTCAGCCCCAAAACTTCTGCAACAACGATATGATATCATAATTAGTATTAAAAATTTACCTTTTGTTAAAATAATTTTATTAAATGCAGATATTATGTTAGATTCTGTAGTTTACTTTTCTATATTAAAATTTTTTAATGTCTCACTTTCTTACTTATTTTGTTGTTTTATTTTTTTAGAGAATCAGTGAAATAACATAATTAGTAAGGTGATTAATAAATTATAACATAATTTTTAAAAATATGTAGTTTATAGCATAATTTAATATCTTAAACTTCCAACATCATTAAAAACTCAAAAATATCCCTCACATTCCTACTTCTCTCTCTTTCTCCCTTTAGTCCACATGGCTAGGGTCGTCACCGGCGACTGACAACTAGTGACCGACAACCAAGGACTAGTAAATACCGTATTTATCGGTAAATATCGTATTTATTGGTAATTTGCATAAATGGTCTCTAACCTCTTTAGTAGGTGACAGTTTGGTCCCTAACCTTTTTTTTTTGGCAAAACGACCCCTAATCTCTTTAAAAGGTGACAATTTGGTCCTTTCCGTCAAGTTTTTAACAGAACATGTCACGTGACCCATCACGTGACCCTTTTTTTCAGTAAAATAACTTAAATGTCCCCAGAAAAATTATCCCTTTCTCCTCAACATCACGATCGTCTCCATCCCTGTCTCTGACTTTTTGATGATAAACATGTCTCCACTACTTGGTGAAGATAGTGATCGCAGCAGTGCCCCACTCATTGCAACGCGCCTTCTCCACGCTTCCTCGCCAGAAATGTTCAACTGCGAATCATCACCATAATCCCTCGCCAGGATATCATATCGTTGTTGTAGATAGGGTTGTTCATGGGTTGGGTTGGTGCGGGGTAGAATTTTTTTCCCCGCCCCAAAGGGTGCGGGTTGCACATATTTTTCCCCAACGAAGTTAGAAAAATTTCACAACCCAACGATGTTCGGGTTGGGTTGGGGCGGTGCGGTGTGGATTGGGTGGTCGGTTTCAACATTCAAAAAATCAAAGACTTAAAGTTCAATATAATATTCAAACTTCATCATTAAATAGAAATAGCAAATGTGACACCCCTTATATACTATCTCCTTCAAATGTTTTAGTTCCTTGCTAACAATCCTAAGGACGTGCCACAATCACTAACCTTCACCTGTCACTTATGTGAAAACTATGGTGTTTCAATTTTTTTTTTTGCTTAAATAAAATTTCATTAATACACCATTCCTATCAAGTTTCCTAGCCACAATTAAAATTATACAGTCATCCAAGGTTTATAAGTTTAACTCCAAAATATATATGTTTACAGACCCAAAATAATCTGTGTACAACTTTTTTGGTCCAACCATATGTACAGCGGTCATCGAAGCCAGCTCCTCTGCTTACTATTCTGCTTTGTTCTTACCTTTACCTACAGCACAGAGCAAACTTTAATGAGCTACAAGCTCAGTAAGTAGAGCTACAATCACACAATCTTATTTTAACATACTCACACATTGCAGCATCATAGGTAACTTATGCCAATCAATCTTACACTTTATGCACGTGCACTATATATCACTAGGGCCTTCCCGGTATTGCCGCCGGCTTTTTTCTGGCCACATGCCAATATTCAAATCACAATATCAGGTTCCCCGTCATCACCCACCTGGTTCGAGGGAACGGCCAGCGCATTCAAAATCATAATTTCTCAATATCATAATATAGTCTCTGTCATCACCCACTTGGTTCGAGAGACTTGCGCGGCTCAATCACAATTTCATCAATCACCACATCGCAATAGAAGTCCTTTGAGGACTTGGCAGTATCGGCCTAACATGCATGCTATTATGTGCTCAATTACAAGTAATCTTCTCAATCATACACATTGACAATGTCATAAAAATTCACATAATGGCATACTAGACATTCCATAGAAAGTCTATCAAACAAAGTTTGTAAGTGCTGCAGAGAAGTCAAACTCCACTTACCTGAGTTGCTTAGCAAAATCTGCGTTTAACCTTCTTCGTTTCCCTTGTTCGTTTTCCTTTCCACTGTTCAAAATAGACAAATTGGCCACCGTCATTAGAGCTCAATAGCTCAGCCATAAATCAATTTCTAACTCATAATCACTTTCCCCTGAAATTGGAATTTCACTGATTCGTCCATCTTTAGAAGAAAATTCATAAGATATTCTTTTTGTCTTTAAAAATTCTAAAATTAATTTCAAAACAAAGTAGACATGTATATCTTTCCAACAAACTATCATATGTCTCAATCCAACATCTCTAAGTACCTTAAAAACAGTTTCCAAGAAATCACAATTCTGTTTTTTTTTTGTTTTCTGTTTTTGACAGTTTTTAAAAAGTTTCGATATGAAACTTCCTATGCGCACAACTTGAGCTATAAAACTCCAAATGAGGTGATTTCAACCCTCACACATCACTAATAACCTGTTCTAAATGGTGAAAAAGGTGGTTTAAGTGCAGCACTCCCATTTCAAAAAGTAGGTACCTCAGTTCTTTGTTTTATTAATTTCTGGAATTGGCACTTTTACGATTGCTACAAGAATATTCACAAAGTATTCTATGTAGCCTTAAAAATTACAAAACCAGAACCCAAGCGAGGTAAACATCTAGGGCTTTCCAAAAAGGTATCACAAGCTTAGTTTTGGGTCCGTTTAGGTCTCCAAAGACATGATAAACCAGATCAAATTTTGTTGGTTTTTCTGCATAAAACCAACCACTAAGCCCAACTTCAAAAATGTACATCTTAGGCTACGGTTATCCATTTAAGGTGATTCCAGCGGCTATACGAAGCTTACAATGTCTAGTTACCAATTATGTAAACCTTCTTTTGAAATTCCTCACCTAATACTCCCAGAATCCAAAAGAACAGATTCTGTCCAGTAAGTACATTTGACAGTTTTTTTTTATATTCAAAAGTTTACAACTTAAACTACAAAGCTCCTTTTGGGGTGATTCAAGTTTCCATTTAAACTATGAAATGTCTATTTCAAGGTTCTTTAATTAACAAGGTTGGAATGATTTCTGGGAAATTCGATTTCTCTGTTTTCCCAAGGCTGCCCGTTGTTTTTAATGCTAACATACAACAAAACAATTCCTTAGAGAACCTTCTCCTAAATAACAATTACGTGACCAAGGTGAAGTAGGATAGCCACCCTTGTTAACTCATACACGTGATATTTTTTAGAGATGGACAAAAATATTGAACCTTTAACATATCTTAATAAAAGATGAAAGATATCCTAAACTGTAAAACCCAAAATTTGAAATGGGGTTAATTTGTAATTTTTAAAGACTTAAGTGTGAAAATTTTAAAAATCTGGGCTAAAATATAATTTTTAAGAAATGTGGGGATCAAAAAC